AACTCTGAAACAGGTGCACACAAGCAGAGCAGGTTCATCAGGCCTGCTCTTAGAATGAGAAGGGCGAGGTGCAGTAATCAACACCAAGCCAACGGCATGCTCTTTAAACACCAACTTCTCATGTGGAAACAAGTTTATAAGCTGTTATCTGTCATTTATACCCTGCACCTGCCTTCTGTCTTTCTACAGCACACCTGCTGTTTAAGTGCTTGATTAGTGACTACATGGGCGTATGTGTTCCCACCGCCACTAAGAAACTGCAGTGCACAGTTTGTACTTCCAGTATTTCGCCCATGGAAGTTCTGCCTTGTGGGACAATAAGCATTTCATGCACAATATCTGACAATTTTATAATGCAGAAAATGGAAATCATGGTTCATCAATGCAAGTTTTGTAATTTAGCTGAATTATGCAATTGCAAATTGGAAATATTAGAGTCACTGGAACAACAGGAAAACTATTCGGGTCCTGGTAAGTTTTCTTTTTGAAAACTATATTTTGTGACTTATTCATTAAGAGAAACTAATTCTCGGGAAAGAAATTCATACTGGATTAGCCATAACCTCAGTGGAAAAAAATCTGTGATGGTAACAGTTGGAAACAGTGGAAATCCACAAACAGCATGCAGTTAATTCCACAGAAGAGCCAAGGGTTACAGTCATTGTGTGCAACATATTTAATTTGATTTTAATTTCAATTCAGTTTTATTTATATAGTGTCAAATCACAACAGTCTTCTCAAGGCAGTCTATATTGTCTGGTAAAGACCAAACAATAATAGAGCGAGAACACCAACAATCAAACCACCCACTATAAGCAAGCACTAAGCAACAGTGAGAAGGAAAAGCTCCCTTTTAACAAGAAGAAACATCGGGCAAAATCAGGCTCATTTATACTGTTGGAAAGTCTGCTTCTTTTCCCCTAATCGGTGCCCTATTTGTAAAGAAAATGCATTTGTAGGTTGAGCAGCAGAGTTGAGTATGTGAGTTGTGCCCATGAAAAACTTGATCTGGTCTCGGACTGAACTCTATTATCCAAGATGACAACAATTGCCAATTGGGTGTACTGTTCGTGCCAGAGTGACCAACACAACCACACTGTCTGACTTGCGACAAATACTGGTTGACAAATGTTATAACATCCCACAGCAGTGACCCAAGTTGGTAACCAACATGAGATGAGGAACCAGGTTGTTGTGGATCTGTATGGCTCTTCCACATGTTATTGAGGCCCCTGTTTGATAATTGAATAAATTGTTAAATTGGCAATATGTCTTGTTTATTCAGACTTCATCCAATTCAATAAATGACACCACACAAGAGTCTATGGCAGAGTAAGCTGTTTAGCATTGGCTGAGAAGATTTGGCAAGTTTTTCATCAACTTAACCCACACACTGAACTCTGCTCCTCAACCCACAAATGCATTTTCTTACAAATGTGGCATTATTTAAAGGAAATAACAAGCTTTCCACTGGTATAAAATTTATTGCCAAGACGCATTGTTACAACTAAGAAACAATCAACCAAACACACATTCCCTTACTTTTTCTGACAAGTTTAAATATATAACATACATAACATATGTCACTGAGTAATGCAAGATATAACAATACAGATATAACAGTTTTGCAGTTATATTTGCAGAAATACGTTCTGGACTAACTTCACTTACACACCTATTTTCAGCTTGTCCTTATCTAAAGTATACTTTTGGTTTACTGTTCAATATCTTTTGCTAATAGAGCCTTATTTGTCTTTCTTATATGACTGTTCAGAGCTTTAGAGCCATTTCTCCAAAGCTAAGCGCTTGTACAGCTGACTGGGCTAAGTCTTCAGCAAACATTTGAACTTTAGGCATTGTAGGTCATGATGTTCTTCAGTTTGTTTTCAACTTGAAATTCCCTTTTAAGTGATAAAGGAAGACGTAGCTGGGAAACAGTTGTGCAACTTGTTCACATCTCAACTAAACACCACAGCATGGTCTCAGGTTACCATCCCAGAGACAAATAGGTTTCCACTGGGTGCTGGTAAATTTGATGACACTAAACAGAACCACATGACAAGAGCACTTGAGCACACAACCTGCCCTGTGATGCAAGAGCAGTCAGTGGGACACGTAGATGAAGCAAAGTATAGTTTGAGGACTGGAGTGCTGGTGTGTTTGTTTCATATGTGATTTAATCAGAGTTATCGGCACGTACACACTCTGGCAACTGGTTTGTTGTCTGTTTCCCTGCGTTGTAGCATTGCCGTTGGATCTATGCAAATTAGGGTTGTAGTTTTATTTTAGCTCACTTATTATGACATAAGTTTACATTCACTGTCATGAGTTCAGCTTTATTAAGAGTCATTCGCTACTTGCAAAAGTACGATTATACGTTTGTTTTTGGAGATTTTTTATAAGATAAGTAAGAGTACTTCATAAAACAATGACAATAACATGTCATAATCATTTCAGAGAAGGGGATAATAAAATGGCACACAGTTTAAGGAGAGCAACTCTAGCTCATTAAATTGTTCGCGGACCTAGAACATACACCAATCAGCCACAACATCCCAGCTCCCGATGCTGTAGTAGTATTCCCAATCTTGCGACTGAAGGTGTCATTTCATAGCATAGCATCAGAACATTTAAATAAGTTGTGAGGTTGGACATCTGTGGGTCAGACCTATTTTTCCAGCCCTTCCTAGAAAAATCTGGGACATTTTGGAAACCAAGTCAACAACTTGGACTGGATTTAAGAAATTACGAGAGCGTCACAAGGAGTGGACTGAGGCTGGTATTAGTATTGCATCAAGAGCTTCTAGGCACAGGCGTAGTCAGGAAACAGGCTACAATTGTCACATTCTTAATATCAAGTTACTCCTAAACTAGAGACAACAGCAGAATCATCTTACTTGGGCTAAGGAGAAAAATAACTGAAGTGTTGGTCCTCTTTGAGATAAATTTTGAATTACATTTGGAAATCAAGGTTTTACGCTTTGGAAGAAGACTGGAGAAGCACACAATTCAAAATGTGTCAAGTCAAACCTGCAGTCTGTGATGATTTGGGGTCGTCATGGTTGTTTCATAGCCCATATAGGTGTCTACCAGGGGATTTTAGAGCACTTTGTACTCCCATCTGATAGAGAATTGCCATTTTCCTTTTTGAAGAGGACTTAGCACCTGCCCACAGTGCCAAAAATAGCCATGTTATTACTGTGGTTGATTAACCAGCTAACTCACCTGACCTGAACCCCAGAGTATCTATAAGTTAAGATGCCAAAAGGAAGATGACAAATACCTTACCCCAAAATATAGATGATCTGAAGGCTGCTGTCAAGCCAACCTTGGTCTCAGTAATGCCTCAGCAGTGTAATAAGCTTATCACCTCCATGCCACAGCGCATTGCTGAAGCAATTCTTGGTAAAGGGCACCCAAATAAATACTGAGTATATAAATAAATATATATATCGAAGTTATAAACACTTTTGAATTGAGCTTTGAAAATATTCTAATAGTTTGTGAACGGATATGCCAGTCCGATAGCTGGATCAGACATTGGTCTGATAGGCCCAGAAAGTCTTCTCAACTCAGTGATAATGTGCCGCACTATGGTACAATCAATGCAGTTCAGCAGTGTGAATCTAACAACAGTGGCACAACAGTTTTGTACCTGACACTGGTACACCAACAGCTTCTATTTTTATGTATACACAAGTTTTGTACTTAACTGCAAAATCTGAAATGAACTGGATTAGGCTAATTTCAGATACTGGATTTCAGATTTTCATGATCTATAAGCCATAATCATAAAATTTAAAACAAACAATGACTGAATTAAGATTTAACTTAATGTGCAGTGAATATAGAATATATGAACTTTTACCTTTTTGAATTAAATCCCCCCCTTCCCCCCAATATTCTCATCTTTTAAAGATTCACTAGTACATCCAACAAAGTTTCCAGGTGCTAGTGTTACAGGTTAGTCAGCGTTTTCTGCTTTAACAGGATGTAAGAACTACAGGCTGGAAAGTTTGTGATTGCTTAGCCAAAGGTGTATTGTGTAACAGTATTCTTAATAGTGCCCTATTTTCAGACTTCCTACCGATAACTGCACTACTTTGGAAACACTCAAAACAACTGTAATCTGTAAACACAGTATGACTCTTCTCCATTGTGTAGAGGTAGAGGTCATTTACTACAGATGTTTTAGTTTAGAATTTAAGGCACTTGGCACACGTTGGTGTGACTGCAGCAGCAGGGGGGTGCGCTGTGGTTTTACCTTGTTTTTCAGATTGTTTGCAGCTTACATAGGACCCAGCATGCTGGCGCGTCAACTGAACATAAAACTTTAAAAGGCTATAAAATAAACCTTAAGCCTGTGCCCACCTCACAGCATGGAGTACCTCAGCTGATACTTGATACCCTTAGACCAGCTTCATGGGAACAGTCACTGCTCACCCAGACTTTCTTGACAAGGCAGGCTCCACTTTACCTAGATACTACAGGCTCACTGCTACAGCAGCTCAGCCCAGATAACTTCAGCCTGTTTCTCATTTATCTGCTCCTTATGTAACCCAGCCACATGGTTTGTGTGTTGGGAGGGAAGTTTGGAGAGGAGACAAGTCTTCACAGTGAGCTGACTGCAGAAGCAAAAGCCCATGCGAGTTTTATTCCCTCTATTACATTAGCTTGTTAATGAACAGATCCTCTATTGACCCTGTTGTGCCGGGACAACTAATCAGCTGCTGGGCCTCACTTGACTCTGGCAACTTTAACATACTAGGCTTATTAAATGCACCACTCCGTGTTTAATCTATTATGGATGCGGCATTAAGTAATTCCCAACTTCTAACCAAACACTGAAGCAGTATCTTCAGCCAGTCAAAGCAGCCAAAAACCTGCGGAGTAGAGAACTGGTTTACTTTCAAAAGCGTCGATGCAGAGGTGCTGCTAGTGCCGTCAGTCCCACTTCCCTCTTGCCCTCATTGGCTTCCCCATATTTCCCAAAAACACGTGGCTCCAGCTCCTCCCTGCTATGACTTCTCCAGCAAGAGTTTGACCCAAGTCATACGCCTCAGTACTGTACATGGTAAAGGATATTACCTCTTGTGGCAGGGATGAATATGTTTTTAGAAAACGCTGCGGTGATCCTCTTTTAAAATGGCTTTTGCTTTCTTGGGGAAATACTGGACAGTGACACGCTGCTGACGGGGGCAGGAACACGGCGTGCTAGCTTCAATCTTCCTGCCTTATTTATTGTAACAGAACTACGATTTGGAAACGTCTTATTTTTGTGTGAAATATTTAGAGGAATATTTCCTCACTTTTTGTCGAATCGCGCCGTAAAATCCTCCCACGGAAGACTGTTTGCGATGACTGTGGGAGAGGAGTAAAAGTTCTCCATCGGACTTTAAGAACACCTGCCGCTCTCCGCTCCCTCCGCGCTGACCTCGACGGCATGACCCTCGGCACGGTGGCCGGTTCCGACTGCTCGTCGCCGGTCAGCTTCTGCTCCTGCTGCGGGGCAAAGATGGTACCCTACTTCAGCGACGACGCGGTGGTGTCAAAAAATGAGATCAACCAGCTGTAAGTTGCACAAGAGTGGCATGCTGTGAACAGTAGTGACAGTGGGCTGTTTCGTATTGAATAAACAATTAGACGACATAGAGTGTGTGTGTGTGTGAGTGTGAGAGACTAAAAACAATAAGTAGGTGGGACTGCGACACAGAGTAAAGCTGCCGTTAAGTAACAGGGTCTCCATTCAAATTTCTCCAGCACAACTTCAACTCCAACGTGGAAGTAGACTGTGGGCGTACTGTCTGAAACTCGAGTGTGCTAATAAAGATTTAAAATACACACCAGATTGTCACCATTATTTCATCTTGTAGCAATTTTATCATTTACCACAATACTCGGTGTTCTAGTGAATTGATGCAATATGTGGGTTTTGTAATATCAGGGTTGATGAATGTATTTCCTGGTGACGTAGCAGGGTCTTACTCATCACAGTACTCCCTTTTTGACCTTACTAAGACATAAGTGCTCTTCAGCCTGTGTGAATCATCCAACCTGTTTCCAGGTGTGGACATGGAATTAAGCAAGGGATTCCTCTTTAGGTATACTTAGTGGAGAGAAATGGGGGGAAGGAAGGGGTCACCCGATTGCCATAATAAGAGATTTATGTGGCAGGGAGCATGTTGGTGTTTAGTATCATGACTGAAATAGAAATAAGAGCTTTTGAGGAAGATGAGGTAAATAAAGTGGAGAAAGAAGAAATTGTAAATAATTTTTTTGTTTTCTTTACTTTTGGCTATGATATGTGACAAGTTAAACTTTTATGTTTGAGGTCAGTGGCTTAATGTGTCTTAATATTTTATAGGAAAAGACTCAAACTGGATTCTGACAGTTAATTTAAGCAATAAGCATCTGAATGTGACTTTTAAAATAATCCCAAACAGTTAGGACTGTTGTGTGTCTGGTAAACCAATAATAGTACTGCACAACTGGCTGCTCATCAGAATTTTTTATAAGCTGTCCATATATCCTGTTCTGTATTAGAACTAATGCCCTTTGTTGAGATGTCAGTGATGGATGATTACTTTATCATCCAGTGGTCTTATCTGTTATCTCTCTGTACCTGCAGACATCAAGGCAAAGTTGGGTGAAGGCTTGGTTTTGCCTGAGAGATGTAAAAGGATTTAGCTGACTTGTACATGTGGTGAAGACGAGTCTGCTCTTCAGGACAGATCAAAGGCCTACTGTGTTCCAGTATTTCTAAACTCATGTGGTGCTGTCTCAGATAATCTCAACAAATTTGGGGAAGAGGGGGAAAAAGAAAATCAATGCAAAACTTCTTCAAAACTACTTAAACTAGATTAAAAGCTTATGTAATCAGCATTAACCAATTTGTATATAGTTCCAGTGTCGGGCTGTTTTCATGGAGTCAGCGAGCGCATGAGAACGGGCCCTCTGTTATGGTTTTCAGGAAAGTCAAGGGCAAAGTGTGTGTCTTGATTGCATTGTTTTTTAGTTGGTTTACACGTGACAGTGTAGCAAAGTTATTGAGTAAACTGAACGTTTAGCTTTTATTAGAGCTGCACCCACTCGTTAAGGAAATCGTTTTTCTTTCTTTCTTTTTTTTCTGTGAGTTTGCACAAGGTTGGTTTATGGGAAGAAGTTACTCTGAGACAGGCACACAGTGCTTACTGGCAGTCGCGTGTCTGGTAAACAGCAGCAGATGTGGGAATCTTTCTGACTTCCTGGCTTTGTTTGAAATACAGCATGATGCTAGTGGCTTGTTGTGATCAGCAGTTTTTTGTAGTGCCCAAAGATGGTTTCGAGCCCTTATCACGACACAGGGGACGTGCTTTCATTTTTTTCTGTTTGTGTGCACACATACATGTCTGTTTATGTCAGACAAATGCTGATTTTTAACCAGGTTTCTGCACGTAATTACAGGCTTTGAGGCTGTCACTGGACTTTAAGTGTTGCCTGAGGATAAACGACACCTGGAACACTGTTGTTGTGCCATCAGTTTTTAAAAGATACTGGTAAACCCTCTCCTCCACTTTTATCCGTGTTTGTGTTTTGTACACATTGTCCAAAGCAAACGGATGGGACTGAAACGTGACAAAGATGTTTTGTTTGAGCGTTTGCGGAAGAGACTATCAGCTGAACAGTGATATAGGCACCTGGTTATAGGTCCTTACCTGGGCTGTGTGTGGGCGATTTGTCTTTAACGTTAAGTAGGTTTCTCGAAGTTTGTATAATTAGCTTAAGTAAATCGCCTGATATCAGTCAAAACAGATGATCCTGTTTGTTGCCAAGTTTCTATTAGTGCTTAATTGTGTCCAGGTACAACCACTGCTCATCTATATTTTGCCTCGGCCACATTTAAAAAAAGATTTCTTTCTGTAACTGTAAGTGTAAAATGTAGTCCGGATCCTTCTGAGAATAGCCTCAAGTGCCTGACTCAGGTATGTTCATTTCCAGCACTCATACCTTTGTCTATCAGATTACCAAAGAAACAGTAGTGAAACTTGTGGTACTTAATTGCACGCTTGCAGAAGCCAGGGGAAAAGGGCAGCAAGCCGACTGTACTAGCAAAACAAAAGTCTATGTTTAGTTTGACCCGAATTTTGTCTCTTCATCGGTCCTGACCTCTTCTGCTCCAGAGGCCCTCATCTGCTATTTGAGTTTCCATGTTTGTCCAACAGTCTGTTTAGCATCGGGCAGACTTTGTGGAAATGCGCTTTGATTAAAATTACAATCAAAAACATGTAACCTCTTGAGATTTCGTGTGACACAGGCCTTCAGCCAGACTTGAATGAGGACGTTGAGGTTTGTGGGTCTGCTAGCTCACCGTGACACTACACGAACATAACTTCTCCCTTTGGTCTTCTGTCTGTCATTTTTTTTCTGCATGTTCATGGCTTATGCTTCCAGGCATCAGGGCCCACGTGCACCTGCAGACATGTGGACACACATAAACATACACAGGAGCTAATTCCCTGCCTTTCTCATGGGCTGTTGTAAACTCCTAAAGCCTTAGGAGGACCTGCCCTCTACAGAGCAGACCCTATATTTATCCCACTCTCCTCCTGAGAGTGACTAATATGGGCACAGGCTGGAGGAGGGGGTCAGTCAGCTATCTGCCCACTATGTGGAGTGGTCCTTACATAGTGATGATTGTGTCTGTGGCTGTTGCCCTAACATGTACCTACAGCTTTGCTTTAGCCCAAAAGCCTGGGATGGCTTAATGCCAAAAGATGACCCACCCTGCTCTCAGCTACACGCTCTGACCGGGTCTTCTTTCTTTACCTCCCATCTTTCACAGTCCACTTGGCTCTGTGGAGCCCAATTTAACTGAACTCGTTGCCCTCTTTCCATTTCCCCCTTTGCTGTGTCCTCATGTTTGTAGAGCGCTGGCCTTTAAATCAGCCTGAAAGTGCATATTTTCAACTGTCTTGGCAATTTCTTATCTTTCTCTCATACACTCCTACAGACTGCTAGTGTTATCGGTCTGACGGTGCCATATCACATTACTAATTTATCATTTAAAATGAGTTCGGCTTAAAGGCAGCTGCATAACATGAGTTGACCATTCTAATTTAATGAGAGGCTTGAAGTGATTCAAAGATTTACCCATTAGATTCAAAGCAGATGTGTGTGATGGTGCAGAAATTAAGAATTATGTCCCTAATGACTCTATAGTGTGCCCTATTAATTAATGAATTGAAAATTTTGTCTATAAAATATCAGAAATCAAGAAAAATGTCCAGATAAAACTGTTCACAGCTCAAGGACATTAATCTTGTTTAGTAAAATGTCAAATTAGAGAAGCTTGAACTGGTGAATGCTCATTATTTATTTATTTGTTTATTTCCAAAAACTCTTCTTTTTAAACAAAATAATCAATCTCTTGATCATTTGATGCAACCCTGGTGAGATTCCTCTGGGTGATGATATTCTGTGCTTCTAACTGGCTTTACTCGTTTGTATTCATCCAGCACAAGCCTGAGTACAGTATTACAGCAGCACACGCAGGCTTCAGTGTGAACCCTCTGCAGCGTCAAAGAGAAGCTTCTATGTACAGTTCATCGACTGCTGAGACTTTTAAAGGACTACTGTATTTTTAGAAGCTGTATATGAGAGTCATTCACAGCCCCCCACCTTTCAAAGCATGGGGCTTACATTACTCTCTCTGTCTGTGCGCAGGAATACAAGTGCGCGTTTGCTCGCACGCGCGTGACCCTCCACACCAGGTTCTCGGGAAGAGTAGCAGTGTTGCATTACATGACATTGTACAGTAGCGCTGCTGTACACAGTCATTTCCAAGGGCAGCACATAGGAAACTCACAAGTGTAAGTGGGGCATGATGCAGCAGGAACTGAGGAGAATGACAGAAACTTAAAAGTAGGACAAAGTTGTGTGAAATGCAGAAAACAGAAAAAAAGGGGGGAGTAAGAGGAAACAGCTGGTTCAAGGGTGGGTGGGTTATGGGAAATGAGCCCAGCACAAGTCAGTCTTTTTTTGTTTTTTTTCCTCTGCGTTGTCTCCTGATTCTCCATATCTATGGTCTCAGCAAAACTCAGGAAGGGCAGTTGGATGGCGGGGAGGATAGAGAGATGAAGTTACAGACAAGAGGGGGGATGAGGAAGACTAAATGACAGACAGCACTGGACTTTTTTTGCTGTTTTGAGTGTGAAACTGTAGAACTTGATGAACTCCAAGTTGGGTTCATTGAGTGTAAGCCTGCTGCTAAAGCTAAAATATGCTCGCGGCATATTTATGCATGTTATGCCATGCTAGCATCAAAATAAACATATCAGTCAAATACCTGATTGTTTGACCTCAGAGATTTGATGTCATCACCTCACATTCATTAAGCCCAGTGATCTTTATCGCGTCAGTTCCTTGTTTTAGCTGCCAGCTAAAAGCCGCCCTTGTTTTGAGCAGAACAGGTTGGACGACTGCTTGGAAGAGTGTTTCCTCTACTAACTATTTGTATCTGCAGTGGTTTTGTTTTTGTTTTTTTTCTATTTCTTTTTTGAACTGATGTTTATTTACTGCATCTTTTTAAAAAAGTCAGAAAAGGACCTTCCTTAAGAATGTGTTTAACTTTTAAGACTCACGTTTTGCTGATTAGGATCATCTGTTTCTACACCAGCTGCATTCTTGCCAGCTTGACTTGTGGTGTCATTTTTGGCAAAACCTGCAAAGTGAATACAGCCGATGTGTTTTTGTTATAATGATGCATGTCTCCTTGGTCTGGAAGAGTTACTTAATTATATATTAATTATATTTGTTAAGAGCATAATTTTCATAGCAGCAGTACTTTTCTTTTTTCTTTTCTTTCTCTCTGTATCCACTCATGAAACACTAGCAGCCGAGCGCCCGGCTGGCCAAGTGGTAGACTTCTCGCTTAGCATCATTAAAGTTATGCTTTAATGATCGCATGGTTATCATTAGCTGCTGCAGGAGTAGATGTTTTAACTTGTTTTCTAGCTATCTTGTGAGGTTAGTGTACCTCCGTACACTAAACATACACCTGGTCAATCATACATGCAAGCACGACACTTTAACTGGTATCCAGTTAAAACATTGGCCTCAGTTTATAATGCATCTTCCTCCTCAATGCAGTGACCTCAGTCACAGTTAATAAGATTAAGTGTCTCAAAGGGAGCAAAAAGCCCGTTTAACTAGGCCTGCTTTGGATTGAAGTATTGTGCGCTGGCCAACTCTTATCGCAGCTAAAACATTGTGTAGGAGGGGGACTCGTTCCATCTTCCCTCTCGGACCCCCGGTCCCCCTCAGTTCCCCCTATCCCTCCCTCCTGGCAGCTGTTAGTGTGAGTAAGTCTTGTGTGTGTAATCCAGCTGTGTGGAGGACCAGAGAACATTGTGTTCTGAGTTCACATCGGGGCTTGGATGTTGTTTTGTTCGCATCGGTCTGTGAGCTCTGATCTGGGGAGCCTGCAGACCAGAGGCGAGCTGAATGGGGCATTGTGACGGCGACACAAGGGCACGACAACGCTCTACTAGTCCGTGTCCCCGTCTTGTGCCTGTTATGGGCATCCGGGGTCGGCATGTGGAAGGAAGCGATTTCAAATTAAGTTACGCAAAAAAATACCAGTTATGATTAGATAAGTTTGCTTTTTAGGCTTCTATTCATGCTTCATTTTCTCTTCTCTTCCAGTATCAGTGAGAGCTTCCTCACAGTTAAAGGTGCAGCCCTCTTCCTTCCCAGGGGTAACAGTCCCACGCAGAACTCCGCACCTCGAATCAGCCAGCGCAGGAACAAACACACAGGTAAACCCTCATACTTACAGCGCCCACACAAACAGCAGCTGCACCATCTCCCAAAACTTCCTCTTACTCCCTTTTTCACCCCAAACCTCACAAATGAACTCTGTGGAAAAACTTGAGATTAAAGAGCACAGTATGTCTTCAAATGGACATTCCTCTACAGCATCATGGGTCACGGCTGGCGTTAATTTCTGTCAAGCTGTTTCACAACAGAGCAGATAAGCTCAGCAGTGGTGAGCTTGTTTGCTGGATAGGAAAAAAAAAAACCCCAAAAACATCTTAATAAGTCACAGACAAAACGGATCCACACGGGAAATGACACTTTCTATCTGATGTCGTCTCATACTTTGAAAATGTTTTTGTCCAGGTGACCTCCAGAAGCATCTTCAGACCATGTTCACTGTGCTGCGCCCAGAAGACACAATCAGACTGGTTAGTAACAAGCACACATAAATAAATATAATTACAAAGGTCAGTTGTGTGTGGTCCTGTGATCAGAGAGCATATTCCAGAGCATCTGATTAAGGTCTTAAGAACTGAAACATGGATTGACTTTTGAAAACATAAACAGTTATGAGGCAAAGGAAGTCTCAGCTCTTCCAGCTGTGCCAACAACACCACCCTCACATGAACCTTGCAGAACTCTAAGTGTACTATAAGTGTGCTCGCCTTTCCCCTGATGTCCCTGCTGCATGTTTAATGAAAAGGGCTTATGAGAGAGGGATTTTTTTAAAAAAGGACTGGTTAAAACCACCTTAGGTTGTCCCTGCATATCTCATATTCACTATCCAGAGTTTTAAATGCCAGTCTTGTGGTATAAAGTATCTATAGGCCCTTGAATGATAAAGGGTTGATTTCCAGGGCTGTAAAGAGTCAAAGACATTACACAGGTGATTCTACAGTTTGCCCCTGTCCTTCTTTTCTTGCAGGCTGTGCGTCTGGAGAGCGCCTGCCCTCAGGTAACCCGCTACATGGTGGTGGTTTCCACCAATGGTAGACAGGACACAGAGGAGAGCATCGTGCTCGGCATGGACTTTGTCTCCTCTGATAGGTACACCTTCTCCGTCTTATTGTAGTTTTATAATAACTCAAGAATTTATGTTTTTGCTATGCAGATTTCTTTTTTCTTCTTGAATTGGATCGTCCTCATACTGTAACTGTGGTGTAGTTGACACAGTCAGAGAAATTCAATAAATCAGTGAAAGTTTTTTCAGCTAAAGGATAAAGTAAGCAAACCAGTGCATCTTGTTTCACTGTCTTTACCTTGTCGATCTTCTCTGGCAGCTGCTGCACGGTGGGTCTGGTTCTCCCTCTCTGGAGCGACACTATGATCCACTTGGATGGAGATGGGTAAGACGCCACACCTACTCCCTGCTTCCTCTTACTGCTCCCTGGGGCAGCTGGCCGACTGCTCTGATGACTTTGTTTACTTGTTTGTGAGCTTTGTGTTTTCTAACCTGTCTCTTTGCATCTCCACAGTGGCTTTAGTGTGTCGACAGTCAACAGGGTTCACGTCTTCAAACCAGTGTCTGTCCAGGCCATGTGGTGAGCAACCTTTATTTATTCCACCAGAATGACAGCCGTGTGAAGCTGTTGGCCTGCAAACAATGTGTCCATTGTGCTCCACCCTTAACTTTGACCTCCAGACTGTTTTTTCCTCACTTTTTCTTATCTTTTCATTTGTTGTCTTATCATGTTTTTGCTTTCAATCCCTCTCACGTGTCAGAACCGCCTCTTCATATCTTTATTTTGTTGTCCCCGACTGACTTCCTCCTTTGAGTATGATCGTGTTATGCCTCTTTATAGCTTCAACCTATGCCCTGTTGTTTAGTTCTCACATGTTTTTATTCATTCTTCACACATCCATCCTTTTTATTTTCACTCTCTCATAACTTTTACTCTTGTATAAGTCCAAATTCCTTTCTGCACTTTTTATTCCTGCCAGTGACATTTGCTCATGTGAAAAATCTCCTTGCTTTCAACTGTCTGCCCTCAGGTCAGCCCTCCAGTCGCTCCACAAAGCTTGCGAGGTGGCTCGCTGCCACAACTACTACCCAGGCAGCCTGTTCCTGACCTGGGTCAGCTACTACCAGAGCAGAGTCTCATCCAGCCAGTTGTGTATCAACGAATGGAACGCCATGCAGGATGTCGAATCGCACCGTGCCAATTCACCCGTCCTCTTCACAGACCTGTGAGTAGATTAGGATGGCCACATTAAGGAAATGGTTTTTCAGAGAAACACTGCAAACCACTTTGAGAATTGTGTGGCATAAACCCTGCGCCTGATGTGCACAGATGCACATGACATAGACTAGAGGGTAAACACGCTGCTCCCCAGAAATTCACAGCAGTAACTGCTCACACAGTCGTACACAGTTTCATCACAAATTCACCTTCACCGTGGCTGTTTCTGTGAAAAGTTAAAAATATGTTGCAGTCGCATCTTCCTAACAGCATTGCCTAACAAGCATAACAAGTGTTGCTACATCCCCAAACTAAAATATTGCAGTCTGCAGAACCATGGACTCTGGAATGAGGCCACGTGCCCTCTCTAACCTTCCAGGAGAGGCAAAAACAACAGACCAAAACAAAAGCCTGAAGCGCTGATGTTTACAAAGGTGCCTAATCATTAACGTGTTCACAACATGATGAATAACGCTGCCTTATCAACATATTTACATGGAAACATAATAAAATAAAAGCAGTGACTTCAATAGATTTGTCTCCACTGATACCAGGGAAATTCCCCTCCCTGCTCCTTCGTCACATGCTCTGCTACCTATTTAGACTGTCTGCCTCTCTCCCCTCACGCACACACACACACACTCTCTCTCTCTTTGGGGGTCTTCTGGAGTTTAAAATAGCCAAGGCTTTAGCTGTCTTGATTTACTTATGGAAAAGTAGAGTCCAGATAAACTCATAGGTAAGTAGAGTCGCAGAGAAACAGACAGGAGCAGGTGGTGAGCACAAAGACGGGGGCTACTTGAGGAAATAATGAGGAACAGTTCGGGCAGAAAAAAAGCCACTTCAAACCATACGTTTAAACACTTCGCACACACACACGCACAGTCTCTCTCGGAATGATTTGGCTCTGCCCCTTACAGCCAAACACAGAAAGTTCCTGTTGGTTTTCCCGGACAGGGAGGCTGCTAAAGCCTCGTGACATGTCAGTGTTTGTTGACATGGCTTTCCCCCGCCCCAACACTAAAAATAATCTTATCTACCTGCAAGCAATTCAGGGAAGCTGCGTAAAATTTCCATTATTCATTTACTCATTAGCTCCAGTCCTTATGTCGTCATTTGCCCTCGTGTAGTCTGTGTTTTTGCCTGACTAGGCTTCCCTCCCTCAGGCCGTCTGCAGACAAGTGGAGGCTTGTTGTGAGGTAAAAGTGTTACTGCATGTCAGTAAATAACCCGTGTCAGTTTTTGTTGTTGTTGTTTTCTCACTCAACCCTCGTTCCACTCAACTCGTTCTCATGAGGTCAGGGAAATGTTCAGGGTTGAGCTAAACAAGCCCCCCTCCTACCTCATTTCCAACACAGATGATGCTTTCATCTGTGCAGTGTCACACACCTGTGGTCACTGTACTTCCCCTTTTTGTAGCTGCTGACCCACACTGCTGTGTGCTGATGTTCAGTTTGAAGCAAAAAAACAAAAGAAAAAAATGTTAGAAGAAGTCGTTCACAGGCAAACTGAGCTCTTCTCTCCAGAGAGGCAATTAGGCCACTTGTTGGTATCGTCGGTGTGACGTCGGAAAGGCCCCCAGCCAGAACACTTAGGAACACAGCGCGGCACAACAAGAAGCAGATCCTACAAGGGGACTTTGTGTAATTCTGAGAAACTGGAGAGGGGAACAGAAAATCTGAGAGCACAAACTCAAACGGGAGCACAAAACAAAGCCGTAGTTCTCTGGTAGAAGTAATGTCATTGAGACTTACGTAAAAGTGAACATGAATGTAATGCAGCTGTGAAGGTGGCTCTCTTCAAAGTGAATTTTTATTAATTAATTAATTAATTTTTTTACTTTGGCCAAGTGTTAAAGTTGTTTTTAAATGGAGGTCTTTGTGTGTTTTATGTGCAGGCCCACAGAAAGGGAGCGCACAGAACGGCTGATCAAGACGCGCCTCAGAGAGATAATGATGCAGAAGGACCTGGAGAACGTCACCTCAAAGGAGGTGAGGGGACAGTGAAATTTACATTTGGTGCTTAGATGTAGGTGTTAACTATAGACTGCACATTAAAGTCACCATGACATCTCTCATGGCTTGTGAAGTGAACAGATGGCCTTGTGGAGATGGCCTCCTTCTCTCCTCTTTCAAACCAGCTGTCTACACAACGTGAACATTGGCGTCCTCAGTCATGTGTCATTTGTCCGTTTTCAATTTAATTAAGTTTTATTTATATAGCAACCAATCACAACAACAGTCGCCTCAAGGCTCTTTATATTTTAAGGTAGACCCTACAGTAATACATACAGAGAAAAACCAACAATCATATGACCCCCAATAAGCAAGCACTTTGGCAACAGTGGGAAGAAAAAACTCCCTTTTAACAGGAAGAAACTTCCGGCAGAACCAGGCTCGGGGAGGGGCGGGGCCATCTGCTGCGACCGGATGGCGAGTGAGAGGAGAAAGACAGGATAAAAGGACATACTGTAGAAGAGAGAGGATTCAGGGTCACCTGAATCCTAACCACCTAACCAATTGCTTTAGCAAAAAGGAACGTTTTAAGCCTAATCTTAAAAGTAGAGATGGTGTCTGTCTCCCAAATCCAAACTGGAAACTGGTTTCAGGAGAGGGGCCTTTCTGTGCAAAGTAACTTAAATTTAAATTAGAATTGAAACTAGACACTGGGGCTATACACTCATCACTAAAGTGTTTACAGAGGTCATAAATCAAGAGCGACAGGGTCATTTTCTGAAAAGCTTGAGTTCAGACTTCCTTTTGCAGCCCAGATGTCTCCTCACGATGGTCGTGAGAAAGAATGCATGTTTACGCCACTGGCTTCACTTTTCAGACGCAGAGGCTGCAGTCATCTTTTATGTACAGTCTGTGGTTTTATTACTTGTAAAGATGTACTTATGCCCTGATTTTCTGCGTTTCCCTGCTGCTGTTATCAGCTGTCATCAGACCATTTATTGTTTGCCTGAACTTTCACAGATCCGAACAGAGCTGGAGATCCAGATGGTGTGCAACCTGAGGGAGTTTAAAGAGTTCATAGACAATGAGATGATTGTGATCCTGGGACAGATGGACAGCCCCACGGAAATATTTGATCACGTCTTCCTGGTGAGACAAGTGGGCTTTGATTCCATTAGCCTGTGAAAGTTTGTCATGTCAGACTTGAGGTTCAGTAAAAAGCTGCATCTAACCTTGTTTTGTCTTTCTAATTGTAAATAAAAAAACTTAGCGCATGCTGTTAATAATGACTGGACCTGTGTTGTTTATAGGGTTCAGAGTGGAACGCTTCTAACCTGGAGGAGCTGCAGAACAGTGGGTAAGAGATCAGTCACTTAAGCTAAGATTAAAATTGATGTATTAAATAAATTTTCTCGTTAAAGTCGATTGAAACGAGTAGCTCGTTTATCATCGTCGCATCCATGAGATCACACTGACACGCCTCCTCCCGTCTCTCCTCCAGAGTGCGCTACATCCTGAATGTGACCCGGGAAATCGACAACTTTTTTCCAGGAATGTTTGAATACCACAACATCAGAGTGTACGACGAGGAGGCCACCAACCTGTTGGAGTACTGGAACGACACGTACAAGTTCATCACCAAAGCCAAGTAGGCTTCTACACACACACACACACACACACACACACACACACACACACACACACACACACACAGTTTAAGCTCCTCTTTCTCACTAGTTCATGTGCTTCAACCCTGCCTCTTTCCCGTCCCACTTTAGGAAAGCCGGTGCCAAGTGTCTGGTTCACTGTAAGATGGGCGTGAGCCGCTCTGCTTCCACAGTGATAGCCTACGCTATGAAGGAGTATGGCTGGAACCTGGACACCGCCTTTGACTATGTGAAGGAAAGACGGGCCGTCACCAAGCCGAACCCTTCCTTCATGAAGCAGCTGGAGGAGTATCAGGGAATTCTGCTGGCAAGGTGTGCTCTCATGCAGAAACATGTACAGTTCCTTAGAAGGAATTTGGAGCTAACGAACTCTTCTCTCCCTCTTGTTCTTCAGCAAACAGAGGCATAATAAGCTATGGCGTTCCCACAGTGACAGCGACCTATCAGATCGCCTGGACTCGAAGCCTTCATCTCCCTCCTTGAACCGCGCTGACTCTCACAATAACAACACCTCCTCCCCGTCTGTGCATCACTTCCTGGGTGTGGCCGTGCTGCAGGCGCTCTACCCCGAGCCCGAAGACTCGCACGCGCTCTCCAACGGAGTGTGTGACTCGCTGGTTCAGGAGGTCAGATCAGATTGCACAGACCCCCGCCTGCTTCCCCTCCCCAGACCCCGAGCAGCCACCGTGGTCCCAGAGGAAAAGCAGGGCAGCTCGGCGAGCGTGGCCATCACTGTGCCCGTCGCTCTTCCACTTCCACCACCATCGCTCCACATCCTACCTCCCACCCCTGAACTGCAGCGCGCTCACAGGGACACTCCCACACATCTGTCCTGCTCAGTGGGCAAACCAGAGGAGCTGTTCCTCATCTTACCCGACAGAAGCAGTTCAGAGGAAGTGTCTCCTCTCACTCTGGGATCCACTGACTCGGACATGATCAACCAATCATTGTCTGATTTAACGAACAACAGCCACACTCCGCTCAGCCCTGCGACTCCCACTTCCTCGCCTTCGGTCTCGGCTTTCGCTCCCAGCGACGACAACAACAACAACCCGAGCGAGTTGGATACCCGCGGTGAGGCAGACGGGTCATCGACCCACAGCACGGACAGCATCGACTTCTTCAGCGCCCGGGAGAAGTTTCTGGGGCTGGCCAAAGATGGCCGACATCGGACGCTTTCAGAGCAGGCACAGCAAAGGACGTCTCTGTCAACTGACAGAGAAACAGAGGTCAGCGAAGACGAGGAGGAGCAGAGGAATGAGATGAGTCAGGTAAGGTTTCATTCAGCTGCTTCTTTCTGTTCATTTTTATTTATTTATTTATTTTTAATAGCATCTCAGTTGTACGACCACTTTTCAGAGTGACCTTTGTCGTCGTCATCATCATCATCATCAGCTGTAAAGAGAAAAATTTAAAAATTTCGATCAAATCCTTTGATTTAGGAGATTTAAATGAACTTTAAAATAAAACCGTGGATACTATTCAAAGTTTTAATCAGAGGGAAGTAAACTGGAATCTGAGTGAATGTGAGGACTGTGTGGTAGCAGGTAGATTGAGCTGATCACAGTGACACCTGCTGGACAATGAGAGAATAATCAAGACCAAACCTCCTCCTATAACGAGTTGTCAGTAGTATTATGTGGATTATAAAAGAGTGTAAACTGGTGTAAACAGGACTGAGCTAATAAGTCATTGCTTGGAATAAAAGCCTCACAATGGCTGTGCTAATAAAGTCTGTATCCTCTCTTTGTCTCTCAGGAGTCTGATGACAGCTCTGACAAAACCAGTCCTGACCGGATTCATCACACTCACCACGACAACGGAATATCAGTCCGCCATATTGTCACTGAGATCGAAGCCATATCACACCCCGCCGCATCTCTTCAGACTCCTTCCTCCTCCTCATCTTCTCCACTCCCTCCATCCTCTCACAGTCCTCAGGTCATCCGACCGGAACATCAGGAAGAGGGGGAGTCTTCTGAAGTCACGCACACCTCTTCGACTCCACCTTCACACCCCCAGCCTCCCACCACACTGTTGTGCGACTGGCCGGCGGGCTCCGTGCGGCGGGCCACCAAGCAGCTGGAGCAGAAGTTGAAGCAGGAACTGGAGATGGTGGCATGTCAGCGGTCTCCGCTGCATTCGCCCAGCAGCGAACAACCTCCTGTCAGACTGTCCGTATCCTCCGAACACGTGCTGCTCCACTCCCCCATGCACGCTGCAGAACAAAGGATCACTCAGGGAGAGAACATGGCTGTTTCTGCTAATGCTACGTCCAAAGATGAAGAGAAGCACACGGGGTCACACAAAAGACCCGATTTCTCAGGCACAAGCGACCTCCAAGACCTTTCATGTTCCCCAAAGTCAGATATCAGCCAAGTCTCTGGTGCTATACCTGTCAGTGTGCACACATCCACAGATAGCCACACAGTGACATCATCACTGGCCTCTGCTGAGCAGTTATCAGCATCATCTCAAGATACCTCAGCCCAGTCTCTCAGACGGGGCCAGCTCCATAGCCAAAACCTGCAGGACTGTTCGAACCTAATGACTCTGGATGGCGTGACGCTGCAGGAGTCGGACACGGATGAAAGCTCTCGGGTCAGGCAAGAGGGCTGCGCTGCCCAGAAGAGGCTGGCCCGAGGCAGCCAGGAGCTGGAGAAGATTCAGCAGACGCTGAGAGAGCTGCAGGCTTTTCTTCACGAGGGCATCACCCTCGAGACGGCAGACAGTCGAGCACAAGAACTGGGGCAGCCTCAGGGGCCAAGAGACGCCATGGACACAGACCCAGAAAGTTATAAAGGGGTGAGTTTTGAAGAGAGCCCTCCAGCTCTGAAAGTGGGGCAGCAGCTCCTAGAGAGGCAGGAGCAGAGGAGTTTGTTGGAGCCAACAGAGTGGCACAGAGCCACAGAGCTAGAGGCGCGCATCCGCCAGGCGGGGCTCACCCCCCCGTCTCTCATGAAGAGATCGGCCTCCTTGGCTAAACTGGACTGTCTGGAGCTGTCGGCTCATGACCTCAGCAGCTTGGACCTGAGGACGCACAACAGAGCAACACTGTCGCACTCGCCTGACTCGCCCTCGTCGCCCCAGTCTCACCCGGACGACACATGGAAGAAGCAGAAAGTGCTGGCTCAGAGGCCGTGCTCTGAAAGAACAGGTTCGTGCAGTGATGACACATCCCCTCCACCCCTCGGCCTCTCCCCCTCCACCAGAGGGGAAAGAGGAGAACGGGAGGAGTCAGAGAACAGCAGCAGTAGCAGCAGCACGATCCCTGCATCCCGTCAGCCGGGGAGAGGACACTCGTCAAGACGTTCTCGCAAAGCTTCCGCTGAGAAGAAGCAGCAGCGAGCCGTCACTCTGCTATACAACACCATGTAACCTCAGATCAGCAAGACTGGAACACATGCGACTGAAGCTGCGCTTATGTGTGTGAAAGAGACCGCATGATGTGTATGAATGTCAGCTGTAACCCCCTGTGTGTGTTCTCCGGTGTTATGTGTATAGTATGCAAGACATGAATGATGAGCATATATTTGCATGGAAACCACTGGATGTTTGTATGAACTGGAGTTCAGGTTCGTCTGTACAGTGTCATGAATGTCCAAACTAAGACTGAACGGTGCTCATGCACTCATTTATATCAGTGTCCCCTTTTTCTTTTTTTAAGTGTGACCCTCGCTGCCTGTTCAGAGTTTCTAAAACTCCAACCAGAGGGGCTTTTGTTTCTCAAACCATGCACTTTACTGTTTAGATGACTCTTTTTCTTTTTAAAAAAAAATTGAGACATGTTTCTTACCCCGGGGAGGATTGTTGTTTTGCACTGTTCTCAGTAGACTTGTCTCTGTGGTTTTGTTTTCAAAGCTGGCAGACATGTCTTTATTCAGATTTTTAATTAAACCAGGACAAAGCTGATATGTTGTTTTTGTTTTTTATTATTATTATTATTATTATTATTATTACTTAATTGCTTTCGCAGTAAATAAAGGTGGTGAGTTTGTTTTAATGGTAGTGACTCCTTAGTTTTTCTGTTTTTAGCCACTCCCATGTAAGGCAAAGAAATGAGGCCAGCTTTTAAATATACCGCCACCTGCTGGACAGGCTGATCCACACACTAAAACTGGATTTCATGACATCGGGTATTGCCACTACCAAGCTTCTCTTTTCGAATGACTGAAAAGCACATCCTTAATAGAAATACATTTTACCTCTCGTTTTTAACTACAACTAACCGATCTTTTAAGCACGTCGGTGCCAACTCCAGTGGGAAATGATCTCCATCAGTGTTCAGCGCAGCTTATTTCAGGCTGACATTTTACCTACTGTTTCATGTGGGTAATTAAATACTGAGATGTAGGCCACCGGAGCCCCTGCTGAGAGACCCACACACAGACACGAGGCACAGACTGACATTAAAGGACTGAATCTGCTTTTAAAAAAAGAGATGCTGGAGATAACTAAGACATCAAAACTCACAGGCTCCATATATGAAGACCAAAAGACTCTTTGGTGGTTTAAGTGAATCAAGAGGAAAAGCTGAGATCCCCTGACGTTTTCACCAATTAAATCCACCTCAGCAGACACAGCAGAAGGATTTTCAAATAAAATATGTGTGTGTGTGTGTGTGTGTGTGTGTTTATCATGAGGAGAGGGAATAAAAATCAGTGGAGCAGAAGAGGAGAAAGGCTGAGATTGGCATCCTTCCTCTTTGCATACTGATGCTCTGAACGCGACTTATATCAGCAGCTCTTTGCAAATTCGTTTCACACAGGCTTGCAGCTCGGTACCTTCCACAGTCCTGCTATTTTTCATAATGCGCACTGCTGGTTCGTCCGTTTTTTCTCTGTCCTGAGTGCTGTTTCTTGGAGGTTTTACAGCCTCTAATCTGCTCCCCTTTTTTTCTCCCTTGTAAGCCTAAAATAACTTAAGCCAAACAAAAAAACAAACAAAAAAAACAACCCAGTTGGATCAGACTTCTTCAGCTCTGGGAATCCATGTCACAGGGACGATGATGAAGGTGGCAGCTGCTAAAAACGGATGAGCTCTCTCTGGTGCTGACAGACGCCGCAGCATTCCCCAATCTCGTGTGAAATAAATTGCTTTTGTCACTGTCCTCCACTGGAGAGGACCACGGAAACGAACTTAACAGTGGAAGAACTGTAGCGCGTGTGTGTGGGGTGGGGGGGTGGTGAAGGGATTTACAGAGCATTTGAAAGGCTTAAGGAAAAAAAAAATCAAATAACACATTTCTACATTGCTCTCCAAAAAAAAAAGATTTTCCTTTATTTAAATCATGTCAATTCACTTCCCAGCATACGTCATGAAAACACCGTGCTTTTTTTAACGTTTTGCAACATTTTTTCAAAAAGTAAAAAACAAAAGGAGCATTTTTTTTACTTCTTAACCCAACCGGGAAAGCTTAGAACCATGAATTACAGAAGGAAAAGAGAAGGTGGTATCCTCAGTTTGTGCTGATGCTGAAAGTTTTACATTTCTCACTTAATTTAAAAAAAAAAAAAAACAGAGCATAAGGTGTCCCTGCTCTCGTCATCCTCCACACAAAAACAAAACAAGTCCCTCAGAGCTCATCTACATTTGCACCCTGCCAATTTCTAAGAAAACATTTGAGGGGGGATTTTACACTGGATTTTAGTTTTCAGCTTTTAAAAAAACTTTTGCTCAGTGAAACTTGCCGTAGGTCACAAAAGACCCCCACCCCTTTCATTGGGTGCAGACCATGCTGAAATATTATAATGCACAGAAACGCACTCACAAAAAAACAAAAACAAACAACCATCAGCTCATGTAAGGTGAGAAAAAGCAAATTTACAGAGAAAACTCTTCTCTAACCCACGATCCACATACAAACCTTTATTCCTGTTACTGTTTTTATTAATAAATGCTCTACTTCACATACAGTATAGTTAGTACACACCTAGTGTTCATCTGGGAGTCTCATCATTACTGTGCTCCTTGCAAAGCCCGGCGTCAGGGTTTAAAACTAGACCCCGGCCTGGGTTTCTTTTTTTGTTTTAAACTTTGTGCTCAAACTCAAACATCCATTAACAGTCATATATGTGCTTCACCCACAAGTACAGTACATCTGGATTTTGTGCAAATCAAAAAAAAAAAAAAAAGAGAAGAAGAAGAAACACATTAGTCCATCATTTTAAAAATTTTCATTAAAAACTGAGGAAGTCTGATTATTTATCGGCCTTCAAATGAGGAAGGCGTTCTCCACGCCGCTGCGCTCTTCGATGCAGTCAGAACTGAAAACCACACGCGCTCAGTGGTGACGGGAGCGTGGGGTGAGTGTGCATTAGGTGCTGGAGCAGTGAGTTGGCCTGACACACTACATTTAGGGGAACTGTTTAGTTGACCTTATTGACCTTCTGTGCGTTGAGCTGGTTTGTTTTAAACGCACACACACACACGCACAGACAAACACGCACCCTTGCAAAACACCCCCCAAGAAATCATTAATTCGAGACGGAGTTCCTGTTAAACTGTACCGGATGTGTCGTTGGTTGTAAACTGGCACTTGTCGAGAAAGTGCCAATGTGGCAGAAGAGAGACCAGGCGTGCGTCCGTCTCTGGCTTTGTGAAGCCGGGCAGACGCAACCACCTCATGGCTTCATGGGAAAAGGGTCTGGCTGAGGCGAGGGGAGGGACGGCCAGGTCAGATGTTACCTCTAAGATGGTTTTCTTTTTAAATTTCCAAGATTTTAAGCGGACACCTGCCCTTTTCCACCCACCTCCCCTCAGTCCAGACCCACCACCCTGGCAGGACCGCCTGGTTCAGAGGGAGGGTGTGGGGTGAGGGGCTCATTTCTCCATGAGTGACAGCTGGATGATGCGCTGCAGCTCCTCTTCCTCCTGCTGCTGCCGAAGCTCCGCCTCCTGCTGCTCCCGGGCTGAGATCTCCATGGCGATACGCAGCTGCTCGTCATAGCTGCAGGTGGTCGGCTTCTTCTTGGAGGGGGTGGAGCAAAGGCTGGTGGGGGGGCGGGGCTTGTGCTGGGGGGTGCTGCGTACAGGGGCGAGGAAACACGGGTTTAAAAACCTCCTCAGTGGGCACACAGTAGGCATCATTCATAATAAGGATAAGTCAGTAATGGTTTCACTGTGAGTCAATGCATGAATAATGAATGAGGTCTGGGTTGCCAGGTTATGAGAATCTCCTCTGATTGCTGTTTATCTTTCCATCGTGACACTTTGCTTTGTCTTTTAATCTAACGCTTCACTGGAACTTAAACCTGGATCTGTCTCGTCCTGATTCCATTTATTACCGTCTGTCATTCTGCAGATTTGATGAACGGTGGGAGAAAGCTATTATCGACTCAAATTACATTGTGGAGTCTTAGTAAACGCTTTATTTAAAAACAAGTTGCGACAAAGGCTTCAGAAGAGACACAGCGAGACATGCGTTCCCATAACTGTGCTCGGTTCTATCACGAAATACAAAAAAACAACAACTGTTTTTACCACAGACTGTATATAAAAGATGGACACAGAAACCCTGGAGTCAAGCATTTAAGCTGTCACTGTCTTTTTTTTTTCAGCTAAGTCATTCTGAGGACACTACACACAATAGCCAAGCATTTCTCTCTGCAACCCCAATGCCAAAAAAAAGCATCAAATAAAATACAATTTGGGACTCTGACGTGAAAATCTCATAGACACTAACTTTATTTATAGTGGAACACAGAAAACATGCCAAACGGTTAAACATTTTACTGCTTTAGAAAAGTATTAGCTCATGTGGGACTTGATGGCCCACAGCAACACATCTCAAAAACGTTAAGTGATGCTAAAAAGAAACAGCTGGAGGGACATTTTGCAACGGATTAGTTTAACTGGGTAGAAAAAGACAGGCAGCGTTACTCATGAGTAAAGACGTTCACCAATTTGCCAAAATTCTGGATAAGGCAGAAAAGCAGTACTAGCCCATGATTTTGGGCCCTCGGGCAGCACTGCATTCAGAAATCAAACTTATGCTTAAGTTCATCAAGGACAATCCGCCTGCTTTCCTGGGTGTCTGACTGCTGGTCTGTTATTTACATCACTTCCTCTTTCCCACGCTGTCAAACTCGATGCCGACAGCACTGCTCTAGTGATCAGTCCTGCTTCCACTGAGCCAATCTGCCTCCACTCTGCTGAGATGTTAGCTTATTTTTCCATATCTGACATATTTTCTGTGTTCTACAGTAATATTTGAGTTTATGAGATTGCATTCTGTTCTTATTTTTACAGCTTTGCAACTTTCTCTTGGTGTCGGTCTATAGGTCCAACACTTTCCCCTCAGGTTAGAACTTTGGCTCGAGTAAACACTGCTATGGCAAGACTTGGGGAGGAGGCAGTGACGAAGAGGATAGGACAGTCTGTGAATCCAACCAGCCATCTGCAAACAGGGAATGCACCCAGAGAGAAACACTGTCTAAAGATAACAGAGGCTAAAGTCAACTACGGCACTGTCAACTGAGAAAGCAGGAAACTCTCTCATCCTCCCACCAACACCCCCTCTCTGCAAACACACACACACACACACACACACACACACACACACTGGAGCTCAGATAGCAGATAGGAGAGGGGGAGAATAGCAGGATGGATAAGAGAATAGAGCAAGGAATGGGACAGGAATACAGGATGTGAGTCAAGTATGGGAGGAAAGAACCACAGGAAAAAAAAATTCACAGAGTGCGAGACACTGAAGATTAACAACACATAAGAGAGCTGAGAGGAAGTCAGAGACAATGCGGTGGAGGGATGGCAGGATATAATCGCCTTCATCCTGGCACTCAAGGAGATTTATGCGGGGGCTTTTTTCCCCTCGCAGCTGACAACGAAAGTCCCGCTCTCTTTCATTCACTGACGCTTTTATCAGACTTTCTAACAAAGTCCCCAATAACAAAGAGCTTTAACTCAAACACGTGGGAGTCATTAAAAATCCCCCAAAATAAAACAAAGGCTTTCATTCTGACCTCTCGACACGACTCGGGTCGCAGGACAGAGGGTGAGTCCCCGGCTTGCTGTTGGTCAGCGCCTCCCAGATGGTCACCTGGGCACACAAAAGAGAAGGCAGCACAGGAAGTCAGTGAAGGAGCGCTGCAGGAAGCGGTGCATGCAAAACAAACGCATCCTCGTTCCCTGTAGGCAGCTTCCTGTTAACGTATGGTAGAGACGGAGCCAGCGGCCTTGGTCGTAAACTAAATGATCGATCCTGGCTGCGGTCCTACTCAAGTCCACGCACAGTTTTAATGCTACCAGTGATTAATAAAGATGAGAAGCACTTGTTAAATATAGACGTTCAAGTTTCAAATTCAGCTTCACACTGTCACAGAAATATATGGAAGCTGTGAACAAAAGCTGTTTTTTTAGAAGATGACAGAATACAGTGTAAGCTAGATTTGTACAGCAGTTAAATCTGTAAAACACAGCGTGTGGGCGGGACGATCCTTTAACACCTGTCCTGCTTTGGTATTAGAGCAGTAATTAAAAGTGTCACCTTTCTCGGCGGCGCAGCGGTGGAAGCGCTCGGTACGGCTGCTGGAGACGAGAGCACAAACTGCAGCACAAAGCCTAAGCTGCAACCGTGCCCTTGCCTCCTCTGCTCCTTCCCCTTGTGTATTTCAGCTAAGAAAACTCAGAGGATGTTCTCTGACCTGTCTCACAGAGCCTATTTATACCTCACTTTCTGTAACGTCTGGAAGAAGGCCAAGGGCTATCAGGACCGAGGATCTCTGGGATTTTAAACAGCGCCGATCCTCAGGCAGCGTGCGCCACACATCAGAGCCAATTTATTCTACTTACTGATTTTACTTCAGCACTGATTGTTTTTTGATTTTCAAAACAGCTCACTTTTTCCCTCCTTCACTGCGTATATTTGTCTGGTCTTGCTTGACTTATGGTTAAATTTATTGCTGCCATTTGCGCCGTATAATTTAAAAGCAGGGAGAATACTTTCCACATTTGCTCCCTGTGCCTGCTCATAGAAATATACACACAGATATGTCATACTCCGCTGCCATTAATTACAGTAACGCGTCAGCACCATATTAGTATGGGAAAGCCGCATCTCCACTGTCTACTGTTTAAACAGACACAGAATTTGTGTGTGACATATCAGATTTAACATGTTTGGAACACATAACGAGACACATTGCAAAACATCAGTTTGGCGAGGTGCATCTCTGCAGCAGAGATGCACCTCAGAGGCTGTTAAAGATATACATGCACACAAGTGCTTCTTAATGCAAATGTCTCATCAGCCGATTACATGGCCGCGACTGAATTTGGGCAGACCCGGCCGAGATGATCCTCTGAAGTTTAAATTGAGCATTAGAATGAGGAAGAACGATGATTTAAGGAACTTTAAATGTGTCATTGTTGATGGTGCGAGACATGCTGGTCTGAGCGTGTCAGAAACTGCTCATCTGCTGGGATTTTCCCACAAAAACATCTCTGCTGTTTAAAGAGAATGGTCTGAGATTTGGGTAAAAATGCCTCGTTTATGGCCTGACTGCTTTGAGCTAGCTGATTGAACGGCACCAAAGGCCACAGAAGAGCATCTCTGAACACACAGTACTGGACAACAATGGTTCCAGCTACTCCTGGTGCAAAGGTGTAGGGTACACGTCCCATATGAATCAAAAATTGAACTGTTTTGTATAAATTAATAAATTATGAACTTCATAACGTGCAACTGCACTGCCTAAACATCATCCAAGTCATCCATTAGCTAGTCTGTGGGCTTGATTAAAACAGAACTACGTTCAGCTCATCCACAGTGTAGCATTTCCAGTATGCTGACACAGGTTCATTCACTATGTGTAGGCTACAATCAGCTGCTCTTTATAGGATGCGGGGAATACACCCAACCTTTACAGCACCATCAAAAATGATGAAGTGTAACATTAACCTTAGCTTCCAACCTGATGATGACCTCCAACTGTCATAAAAGCCAGCTAGACTGAGAGTCTTCAGTAGAAATAGGAACCCTGCTGTAGTCTTTTTAAACGACTATGCTATCTGGATCATTGCTAACTGTGCATGTGTAGCCTGAGCAAAACATATGAAGCAGTTTGATTTAGTTAAGCACTGATTTAAGCTCCCCGCAGAAGAGAAAAGATGATCTCGCAGGAGTTTCACATTGAAGCCACCTGATCGTATTCAGAGCCAGCCTCCAGTAGGCTCTGCTGTATGGCAAACTGCAGCAGATCCTCCTCCTCCTCCCTCATGCTGTCTCTCTGTTTGCCTCCTAGCATGGTGTATCCAGGTGGGGCCTCAAACACACACGGGGGAATCTCGCTGGCTCGACAGGACACTGCAGCACACGGGGGGGAAGGCAAAGGGCAAGAGATGGGAAGGAGTGTTATCTGGCAGTAAAGGAGGCTAAAGGAGAGGAGCGGAAAAATACAAGAGGTTTTTTTTCTGAGTAAAAGAAAGCACGAGGAGACTTAAACCCTTGAATTAACAGATATTGCACAAATTTACAAGTGTCAGCCTGTCACTCAGCAGAAGTTTGGGAGAAAGCAGACAAATCTGGCAGGAAACACTTCATATTTGCAGATTTACATGTGTCACCTATTGAGGCAAAACCTCAGTCTATTGACCCAAAGCCTGTAATAAAGTGTACTTTTGCACCTGACTATTTTCAGAGACATTAGCCACTAAATACTCACCAATGAATCATTCAAACTCAAAAACTCAAAGTATGAATCCGTGTTGTGTCTCACATAACAGTCAATAAGAACTAATTTTATATTGTAACATTAGACACTTTGTTACTAGGAGACTGGTCTCAGTGGTCGTAAGTGGGAAGAAAAGGCTGAGGTAAATTACACTTAGCATCAGTGATGAACCCAGATTTGAAATGTTTGCTTCAAATCATCATCAGTATGTCTGAAGAAGATCGAGAAAGAGGTACAGCCATCTGTAAAACATGATGTCATCATCTGAAGATTCATTTAAGTGGTGTTGGGATTCTTTCAAAAAGCATTTGATTGGCATAGCTTCATTTTTTTCAGCATGAAGGTCCCAAACACATTTCCAATGCAGTAAATACCTGGATAGAAAAACACACGATGTTGATCGTGCACTGGCGTCCCAAAGCCCAGACCTCAACATTACTGAGAGAGTGTGGGATCATCTTCACAGAAAAGAGCTTTAAATGTCCGACAAGAAGCCTGGAGAAGTATTCCTGAAGACTATGTGAAGAAACCTTCCTAAGAGAGTTCAGGCTGTGTTGAAGAATAAAGGTGATCACAGCAAATATTGACTTTGAAGCTCGTTGGAATTGTAAAAACTCTGTTATTTTTGTGCACGTGTCCATGCAAATCGCTGCACCTACTTCCCATTTTCCTAGAAACATATCAAGACATGAGGATTGCCTCAAGACATTTGCACAGTAATGTGTATTAGCTGAAATTCCCAAAGTGTATAATTAGAGTATTTGTAATTAACACCCAGCAAACACTGGTTAGTCAGAGGTGTTGTATCCCATTGCCAGAAATAGCAAAGTAAAGGCAGGCGGTTTCTATGTCAGATGCATTGGACTGGATGTTTTTTTAGGTTCAAAGTCAGGAGTGTGGCTGTATTAGTCACCACTGCTGTTTGCCTTACGCAGCAGCAGTATAACTGATAGATGCAGCTTCTGGGTTGGAACAATGAAGCCAATGCATACACGCCTGAAAACCTGCACTCTATCTAAAGGCCACCAGATGGCAACAGCTGTGGTTGCAAAAAAAAACCGTCCACTACTATAGAAGTCTGGGCGAAAACAGCTTCGTGCTCTGACCACTGCAAACACTTTCCTGATGAGTTTATGGGCTCAGTCACTAACTAAAAACTAAACGCTCATCTGGAAGACATCTAAAGGAGACTCGAGAGAATTACGTCATGGTAGTTACATCCAGTTTATATGCTGTCCAATAAAGCTACAGACATTAACGTAAAATATGTCTCTATGCAGATAAACCAATGACTACAGTTTGTTATGATCTTCAAATCTGATAACTTGCTGCAGGATTACATGTCCCACGCAGGGGTGTGTCTAAAAGGGGGCATGTGGTGTACTCGCCTCAATTTAGTTCAACGATTTGGTGACAATATTTTGCAGACTTACATTATTAACACAAAATATACATATAATAAATTACACTGATGTTTAAAAAGAATATAACATTTTTTTGTGGAGCGGTAAAAGAAAAAGCTTCTACAGACATTCTACAGCTGAGGCGCTTACTGGTGGAACTAGAGCTGGAGACGCTGGACGAGTCGCTGCCCGGAGAAGGCGTGTCTGTCCTCGGGGTGTCCCTCTGTCTTTCGCCCTCCACCACCACTTCGTTGTCAGCACGGACACCGGCTCCCTCCTCACAGCCATTCAGGTTACTAAAGGTGATCCTGGCATTCAGGATGTGGTAGAGAGGGATCTCTGTAAGGAGAGGAGAGAAATTTCACCCCCATCCTCCAATAACACACATGTCCTTTATATCAGTTATTCTGTTTTTATGATTGATACATCTTATAAGTAATTTGGTCATTTCTTTACACCCTTTCTCTGCATGTCTTAACTTTCCATTAATCTGTGTGTCCATTTTCCAACCTTTCCATAACTGCGCCCTCCCCCTTTATTTAAACAGCACACATCTTAGCCCCCTCCCATCATCCGTCTCAATCTCACAGTGCTCACCAATCTTGACAGGGAAGCCAGGCGGCAAACGCAGAGTGATGAAGTCACGCAGCTTAGCGAACAGGGCGTTCGAGATCGCCATGAGATCGATGATAGGCACCACTTGTTCTGCCAGGGAAAGAGGGTGGGACTCACACAGCCACAACTTAGCTTTAAACCTGGGAACGAGCACACGTATGGGAAAAGAAAGAAGGCAGGAAGAAAGAGTTAATTAATAAATATCAGCAAATACATTTCTGACTAAAGCATAATTGAAGCAATTTATGCTCTTGCTCAGACAGTTAAATGTTTGCCCGGAGGAAGCTGCACAAAGACATTGATCACATCAGCTAACAGTGGCTGTCCACAAGCTGCTGAGTCGTTCTCAAACCGAGGCCGATCAATTCTCATATTCTAATTTGTCCAATGAATGAACACAAGATTGAGAGGCAGCTCTACAACCTCAGACCCGTCGTCCTCCCGATGTCCAGCAACTTTTCATTACCCGCTTGAAGAACGATGGTACTGGAAATGTCCGAAAGACCCAAAACACAGAGCAACAACCCCGATTTGTGGGCAGCGGAATAACATCAGCTATGTTACAAAAAACACCTGAACACTCAGATCATTCTTTTATTTGCTTTTACTTTCCTCACTGAGTTCATATTTTCACTTCTTTTGCTTTTTGCTCCCTGAGTGACACAGAAAGCGTTCTTTCATTTCTTTTTTGTTTTGTTCCATTTGTTAATACGCTGGAGCGAAGATGATGTGCCATGAGTCATCGAGCCAGAGCTGAGTGATCGACTGCAGAAACCCACTAATTGCTCGACTCTCCACCAGCTTTGTAAAAACCTGAGTGTTTGTCTGCCGCTGTCATCTGGCTGCCTTTCACCTCAGAAGCTCGGCGGTCAGCTGCTGCGGACGGCCGATTTTCCTCTGGGCTCTTCTCTGTCCATCATTTTGTCAGCTCTGACAACGACTCTGCGACTCAGGGCGACTGTGCACTACGCATGGCTGAATGTTTGGTTTATTTTTTTGTTTCTTTTTCCGTGGGCGCGTGTCACCTCTGCGTCTTGGTTGTGAGCTGGCACGGGTGGCCGATATCCCTCTGAGTGGTCGTCGAGCTGGGGTTGAAGTATTCCTCGGCGGTCAGCGCAGCGGGGTTTGTCACCACGGGGGACGACATCTGGGTCACCAGAGCCTGGGCAAAGTGAGGAGTGAATAACATGAATTTACAAAAAAAAAAGATCCAGCTATAACATGTCGCCGTGTTAAAGATAGTGAAGCTTTTACAGCTGTAGAAAAACGACTCTGTTCGCAGGGATGCAAAAGACTATTAATCAATACCAGAGGCTTTTCAGACTCACTTTCTCTGCTATTCTCTGCTCTGTAGAGATTTCAAGGCTTTCCTTTTACCTACTGGCATTTTTTAACAACTCTTTGAAGGAGTCGTGCTCAAGCCAGAAGTTGTGGAAAAAATTGATAAAGCGGTTTCTTATTTCACTATTCATCATTACAGCGGCTGGCTCGCTGCATTAATAACTATCTCGGTGTGACGCATGACTAAACCTGTCAAAAGTAGGAACAGCCGTTCCTGCTACGGGCAAACAAAGAGTTGTGAAACAGAAGAAGTTTACGGTTTTTCTTTGCGGGTCTTTGCAGTGCTAAGCTACAAGCTCAGGATACATTCATTGTCTGTGCACCAATTTTATCTGTTGCCCAAAAGAACTTAATGGCAAATTCAATTTTTTTGGTGTGTGTGTGGATGATGATGTGCAGAGGCGACAGGGAGGGGAAGCGAGTGAAGAGCCAGAATACAGAAATAGGAGAAGCAGGGAGGTATGAGTCATTGGTGCTCGGCAGCAGAAACAAATTAAAAAAACATAATCAATATCTGAGAGCGGTTTGGAGCCTCTGCTGTTGACACGGTCGACTCGGCAGTCGGGATTCATACACTGCCTGACCATCCAAAGAGGAGGCGATCGAGTTGGGGGCGGGGTAACGCTAACACGAGAAGGTAGGAAATGTCCCTGAAAACAGCGATGACAGTCACAGCGCCGATTGCCGTTCATGTTTCACGTGACGATGTTCAAATCGAGTGTGTGCTCACCCCGTTATTAGGCCCCATGTGCTGTTCTGCAATCCCGAGGAAGTTCTGCAGTGGAGTCTTCCCACCTGCTCAGACACACAGCGGCAGCAACAAGTAAAAAAAAAAGCACTTATATAATCACATCCATACAAAATATATACTGTCCTGTTTGTTTTACACATTTACTTCAGATTACTGCACAGCCCTCTGTGTGGGCTCATTTATCGCCGCTGCAACTGTCCACAGTGTCATTTTGCTCTATAATGCTCTGCTCAGGATGCCTTATTGCATTACATGAAGCTTTTTGTAATGCACTCTTATCTACGAGGAGCCAGCATGAACCAAGGCAAGGCAAGCCAGCTTAATTGAATAGAAGCAAAAAAGGTGGTCTAGCCTAAATATCAGCAGATCTCACAGCACAACCTGATACGTGAGTAATTACGGACTACAGCTGGACAACGAGAAGCCCTCAATCTCAACATTGTTCTTACTTTTCCTACTTCCACCTCTTGACTTGACCTTTTCCTGCTCTGAGGCTCTCTCACCCTGCTTTGCTATAGTTCATTAAATCATAGACATATTTCCCCCCCCTCAGAAAAAAGTTCAATTCTTTATCTCATCCATGTAAGATGCCAGTTGAATAGCACTTCTTCAAGACGACGATTTTAGTGCTCCAATAAAAAAGAGAGCGAGGGCATCACTTTTGGAGATATGTCACCGTCATTATTCTGGGAAACAGGCACAGCAGTAATGGGAGAAAAAAAAATCACATTTGTGACACAAATCAAAAGATAATACAAGAATCTTGAGAATATTTGAGGTCTTAACGGCCAATTCCTGCTACGGGACCACATGAGGCATTCGCTCATCACCCAAAATCCAGTCTAAGACATTCAACATGCTTGTCAAACTTTAAAGCGCATTTATTGTAGATGCCTGTGTTCCCTTTTCCCCACTCTATTGTCATCTCAGACCGGCCCTGTCAGCATGTGGGGTGAAGTGGAATCATCTTTTTTTGGCTTAGGAAGGTTCCTAACTGGGTGAAATGACCTGGTGTCCAAATGACACCCTCTTCTATATACTGGCACCTAATTTAGCCGTTTCCTGCAGAGACTCAACACTGGCATCTTACAATGGATTTAGAAAAGTTGTTGATTATCATCCCAAACCATAGACTGGGTCAAAATAATTTGTTTTCCTCTGAGAGTGTGTTTGCAGCCCACACACTGTCAGTGAGCTTGTTCACGCTGCACTTTGGGTAGGAGTGGCACTTATTTTCACATCACCTGGACTTGCAAATGAGGTCACTTCACTTTCGGTGGTGGTGACTAAGAAAACCCTCCCCTATCTTGAGCTGCATCGTTTCCATGACATCACGATGTGCTCCTAGACATCACACAGGTGGAAACTCGTCCCTCTCCTGACTAACTATTGAGGAAACAGTGCTTCAAAAATGATGAGTGACGCACCAAATAACCTTTTCAGTTATCCATACACAGGCAACTTTTTATGATTACATGGGTTTAAAAAATTGTTCTATTATTTTACATTTGATTTACATAGTACTAAATCACAACATCAGTTACCTCAAGGGGCTTCATATGTAAGGCAAAGAGCCCAGAATAATACAGAGGAAACCCCAACAATCAGATGACTCCCTATAAGCAAGTGCTTGATGACAGTGAGGAGGAAAAACTCACTTTTAACAGGACAAAACCTCTGAGGGCTCTGCTCCCCATTCTACCCCAGAAACAACACAAGCCAGCAGTCTGAGAGTTAAGTGCTCTACTGGGGCGATGTGGTACTTGGAGGCCTTTAAGATACGGTCTGTCCTTGTATGTAAATGGACTTCGCATACAGACAAATGAGGATAAAGATTTGGCTTCACATCAAACTTCTTTCTTGAACAATGAGAATAAACAACTAAATAAGGTGGAAAAATCTAAATTAATTCTGATTCTAATGGTTCAAGTCCCGTCTACTTTCAAAAGCTGTATATTGCAAAATACCAAAAGTGAAATCTGCATAAACTCCAGGATCATTCCTAAAATTAGACATCGAGGGGTTTAAAAGATCCACAGTGGAGAAACTCAAAAGCTGCTTTTCATTTAGATCTGAGCACCAAAAAAAATAAGTGAGCAGCTTGATAGTGTGTGGTTTGGACGTGGTGGTGCGGTTTGTCTTTATCAAACCAGAAACTGAATAAGTACTAAAAGCAGAGCAAAGGTCCATCACTATATTGTGGTTTTTAAAGCACTGATCTACATTTCAGCCTTTGGTCATCTAATCTGTCTACAGCTGCTGATGATACAGTGTGTGCCTCTCCTAGGATATATAGGAGCACTTAAAGGTTTGCTTTTTAAATTCTTAACAGCGTTAACAAAATGATGAAAAGTAGCTCAAGGAAATGGGCAAATGGACCGAGTCACTCATTCAGGAGTCAGTGTAGCGTCTCTGAGAACACTTTCCTCGTGCATGTTAGCAGAGCGCAGATGGGGATTGTGACCTGGGAGAGAGGAGCTCTCTCAGAAGAGCGTGTGATGGTTGATCCTGGCTGACAGCGACGGTCCAGGGAGAGAGGGAAACCTGCTAATCCTGTTTGATTTATGATGTGAACCAGAAAATGAGACGGAGCCACCGAGAGAACTTTACGGGCTGTTAGCCACAGCCTCGGGGTGATCTCATCGAGCTCAGGTGAGAGGGATTAGTCATCGGTGACTCTTCTATCGGACGTGTCTCGGCACTTGGACTGCGGGTTACAACGGCGCGGAGGACGTAATGGAGAGATTCAGCTGCAGGGGAACAAAAAAGGCGTGACGACATCCTGATGAAGTGACTTACCTTTTATCTTGTTCTTGTTCTGGTCTGACAGATGGTCGGTTCTGGTCCTGGTAATCAGCTCAACATTGGATGCTGCATACACCTGAAAGAGGAAGACACATAACTCCTTTTTTCTGTTCACGCACACTTTACCACCTCATAGCTGTAGCAATATGTCCAAAAACAACTTGTCACCATACAAGCTATAAAGCAAAACCAAAACCCTTAAAGCCGCGATTTTTGTGCACCCTAGTTGCTAGTCTGCAGTCCGACTAGTCCACAGCAAAATGCAGGAATTCCTCAACAGTGACCATAAAAATCAGGCGCTGATTAAATATTGAGCAGGCTGCTGATACTGAGTTTACACTGACTACACACGACTGAAATAAAGAACTAAAAGCTTCCAGGGGTAGAGCAGTTCTGTATGCGTTGTCTGTTTATGTTTGCGACTCTAAATCAATGAAGCAGAAAATAGACAGCAGTATTTTACTGTAGAGCCCATCTGAAGGGCTTTTAAACCCACCGGTGACAGATGGCCCGGTAGTCTGACACTTGCCACCCATCGATCCCTCGAGGGGGACAAAGAAAACAAATGGGGTCAAGGTAACATGGTAATGTATTATTTTTTTTACTTGATTTGAGAGGCCATCTGGTCTTTTAGGTGCTGCTGAATCTTGATCGATGGGTTTTTTTAAAGCATGAAACAACTCTGGATTTTATTCATTCAGGAAATGAAATCCTTCAAGTTAAGTGAACTTTCATGGAATATCACACTGAATATCAAATATCAAACGGTGGCTGGGCTTTCTCTGGACAGTGCGAGAGATAAGCGAGCCGCTTACCTTTGCTTCATATCCATTCACCGTCTCGGTCTTCTCGCTCCTCCATCCCAGGATGCCCGTCTTGTTCCTGCAACACAGTTTCAGCACATCCCAGGTCATCTCTCTCACGTCTCAAAGCCATAATAAAGCAGCGTTCGGTTACATCTAAGCTCAAGGACACAGTACCCAGGAGAGGAAGCTCAAAAAAACAAGTTTTCTCACAAGAGGAATCCTGAAGACGCTGGCCTTGTTTGTCACCAGTGAAGACGAGCAGTTCAGTGTGCAATTAGCAAACCTGCCAGAAGTCAGCGAGCAATATTGCATCTTCGTGATTTATTCGTGCCACTGAATTCCTCAAAGCACAAAAACTCACTTTTCAAGGCTGGTTAATCCAATCATTTCAGCTCTTAAGTTTATTAGTGAAACAATATCAGATTTATTTATTTTTTTATTTTATCAGTGACATTTGGGAGAATTCTCCTAAGGGTTGTTACTCAAAAAGCTGTCACGCCTGTCTCCCATCCTACTTTGTTTAGATTTTCGTCAACAACAACTGTACGGGCTGTTTGGAAATTTGCTCCTCTGTGGATAAACTGTTATAATTATCAAAAGATTTCGTTTAATGGAAAATACTGGCAATCTCACAAGCCTGAACTGTACTTTGCAAAATGTTAGTATGCTAAATAGTATAAACAAGGCCAGAACTACTAAAAAAACAAACTAGCATTGTTTTGTTTAAGTGCAACATCACAGACTAACTTGCAGCCTGTTGCATTTTTGTAAATGATTGTTGGCCAAACAGACCCCAAGAGGACCGGCGCTAAACACGAATGCAAACGACTGCCAAGGCATACGACAATCTTCCATCCACTTCTCAAGGTAGTTTATCTTATATATACACCGAAGTAACGGAAAAATATGTCTTTCAAGCTAATATACACTACAGTCCTTTTATGTCCCTTGGCAAGTGGCACATGAATTTGTCTCAATCAGGGAAAGTCTGTAGCCTAAGCATACCGTTTCCTCTGCTAGCCAGCTGTCAAGGTCCTTGTCATGGGTTCCCAAAACTTTGAATCCAACTTTTAAAACAGTAAAACTGCAGCGCTGTATTTTTTGTGTGCAAAGTTGCGTAGAGACGTAATAACTCCAGAGCTTTGAGGTGTCCCTGTCTAGGATGCTTGACGAAGCGGTTTGCTGTAAAGCATCCCAAATACATTACTGGACAGGAATGCTGACGGAGCAAAATGCACAGAGGTGACACCGAGGTGCAAGTCTGACAGTGAGATAATTACCCCACCCCAACCTCTCCTCGCTCACTTCTTGGAGTCATTCGTCTCTCTGCCTTCTTTCTCACTTTTAATCTGTTAACATTCACTTCCTGCCGCCGCTGCCTTTCCATCACTCGCCTATCTATCACCGTCTTCCTCTTTTTCCCCTCCTGCCACAAAAAAAGATCAAATATCTCTTTCTTCTGGCTTCTGTATTGTGCTTTCCCGCCCACAGCCTTGCTACCCGTTCATCTTTCCCTCCATTTTTCTTATTGTGTGCCTTCCCCTCATACCTCCACGTCCCAGCGTTAGTTCTGTCCCTCGCTCTCATTCCTTTTTTGTTTCATCTCTTCACATTTTCTCTTCTCCATCCCTCTCTGTCCAAACAAAACTCCCTCTTCCGTTACCCCCGTCCTTTCCTCATCAGTCTTATCTCTCCAACCAACCAGAATAGGATGAATTTTGTCCTCCATGACCCCCCCTGCCTCCCCCCAGCTCGGTCCACTCTTCTCTCCACCTTATGTCCGGCCTGTCTCTTGTCCAAGTCTTTTTGTCTTTTCCCACCACTGCATTTTACTTGTTTTACAGGCGCCCCCAGCTCGATTCAGGCAGCCAGAAGCTAATTTGTTCCTTCACATCAAGCGTAGTCCTGCAAATTTATTTGGGCACTTTTTGCCTTTTGAGGTTACACAGAGACAGAAAGGATGAAGAAGCGAGTAGTTAAATTAAAATACAATGATTACTATTGACCCAGTGTGACTGCAACTGGATTACAAGACAGCTGCTGCTATTTGAACATTGTTTTTACTTCTTTCAAAAGCTCTACAGTCTTACTTTAAACTACAGCGGGATTTTAGAATAACTATTTTAATGCACTTTTTTGATAGGAACACATTCCCAGATTTTTGGATACAATATTCCAAAAATATGTGCTCTTCAATGAAATTTAACAGTTTGTTCTATGCGACTTTTTCTTGTGTCCATTTCCTCCCACTGCTGCAGCTTTGGTTTGTATTTTCCTACACTTTGTGAAATGCATTTTGACAGCCACCAGAGAACGTGCCTGAACTCGTTCCACTCAGCTGTGGGTTGCAGTGTAGGAGGCAGCAACAGAGAAACGCTGACAGAAATTCAACTCTAACAACAAAAGAGTGATTTTTCTCCACTGGGGAAAAAACAAAACAAAGCAAAAAAAAAAAAAAGAACAGCAGATTAATGGAGCAAGTCCTGTGGCTGAGCTAAAGCTATTTATTAGCTTTGATTTTTCACATCGTGTATATTTTTGTTCAGTACATAGCAGTATTTTTTCTGACCTCTCGAACGCGATGTTGCGGGTGTCCAGCTGCGTGGTCACCACTGGGGCAGACAGCCGGGCCGCTACCTGCTCGTCAGTGGGCTGCATTACTCCCAGAAGGCCCAACCCAGCTGTGGTGCTGCTGCAGGCACCACCCTTCCCCCTGCCCGGCGAGAGCGCTGTGAGGGATGACACGCACAAGGTCTCACGGAACACCAGCTGCCTGTCGTGGTCGACCTCCATCACCTCTGCGCTGGAGTCTGAGAGAAAGACAGGGAGAGAAGGGAAGAGAAAAGTTGAGAGCTTTTCAGTGAGGTGAGAAAGTCCACAAATCTGTGATGCTTAGACAGACAGACAGACAGACAGATACCTGCCTGATACCAAGTCAATACAGGGCCAGTATTGCTGATACCAATATCAATACTGATACTTATAACTTATAAAGGGAGCTCATGAAGGGGAGACCAGTGTGTCATGATTTATGAGCTAAATCATCATCAACAGTTCAGTGAGCTACGTACTGAACTTGGAGGACAGAAATAAGTATCAATCCTACTGTGCTACATACCATTACCAACGCTGGTAAACACACGATCGATTATTGGATCGATCCCCCATCTCTACTTCCCACTACGGGAGATTTAAAGGATACATATTGGAGATAAATTTAGGGAACACAGTTATCGTCTTGGTTTATGAGAATCATTTGAAATCAATACCAGCTTCATGCCTTTGTGATCAATAAAGCCACAGGAAGCAGCGAGTTGGCTTAGCTTAGCACAAAAACAGGAGGAAACAGCTAGCTTTGCTCTCTACTCATTTTGATATTAAACCGTGTTTGTTTCACTTGTGCAAATAATTCTCAGCAAAAACGCAACGAAAGAAAAATGCTAATTGAATTGTGCTTTTGTTGTTCTCACGTCGCCCAGTTTCATCTGTCTTTCACCTCCATTTTTAAATATCAGCACTAGTCAGTGTAGTTTTCTTTGAATGCATTTTGACACACTGCGTGCACCTCACACAGAGCGAGCCAGTCGAGCTCAAACTCTCACCCTGTCCCTTGAAAATGAAGCTCCGGTTTCCTCTCTGCCAGGTCATCTGTTCAAATCCCATCAGGGTGGTGTCAACACGGAGACACTGACCACTCTTCCAAACTCTGTATGTGTCACTGGGGCAGATGCGAGACACCAGGGGCACTAAGGACGAATACAGACACTCTTTGACTCAAACCATGCTGAGCTAGGTCTCAGTTTTCTTTTTTGCATTTGAATTTTTTAAATTTAAGCCATTCTAACCTACACATACAATACAAATGCTTTTCTGACATGCAACTGAAAACAGGTGTCTTTAGCCTAAGAGGCGGATAAAATTAATAGATCTGACTGGTTGGTACTGGCTTTTACTGGATCACTGGACACAAGGACTGGACTCACCCCAGCTGGTAAACTCCCATTTCATCTCCACATAGAAGTCTTGGGCCTGCTTAGGGTGGAGGAGGAGAGCGGAGACAGACAGAGAAAGGAATAAAAATGAGAAAACACTGAGCATCGATAAAGAGGAAGATACGGAGGGAGAGTTGTGGAGAGTGATGAAGTTAAAGATTAACAGACAGAGGGAGGAGAATACCGATGTGCAGGAGGAGAGAAAAAAAGAAGTAAAGCAAATAAATGCAGCAGGGATGTCTGTGCCAAAGATGAAGGGACTGGAAACTGGAAATGTCTGCATATGTGTGTGTGTGTTAATAATAGAAGTGATGGATGGAGGGATGGAGAGGACAATAATGTGGGTGAGAGCAGCGGCAGATGAAGAAGGATGAGATGTGTGTAACGCTCGCGGGTTCGTGTGCGAGTGTGTTTGAGTGCCAGTGCTCCTTGCTGTTTTCACAGTGTGAGGGTGTTGTGTGTATCAGGGAGCCGGCAGGAGCAGATACACAGGAAGTCAGACAGTTTGGAGGCACATCCCTGCATCGCTGTCACTGTTTTGTGCAACAGCTCCAACACAATCTGCTGCTGCAGGCTTCTAACCATTAACCTCCTGTACGGGCAGCCTCGGCATGTCCATCACTGCTTTTTTGCCTTCAAACAGGGCAATCCTGAGGTCCTTAGGGAACAGCTATGAGTCAGATTAGAGGGAGAGAGCGCTTTGCAACATGGAGACATATCCTTTGAGTGTATCGCCCTTGTTAAAGAAAGCTATTAATACCTTCAGAAAGGATCTCGTGGGAAAAGCAAATTTGCATGTAAATTTGAAAAAGACTTATTTACATTTCAAATGCATTTATAGCTTCCATATTTATCACCCACATGGCTTGCACACTTATTTCATGAACCTGTGCACTACAGCGCGTGTGTGTGCTTATGGGTGCTTGTGTGAAATCGCACTTGGCGCAGTCGCTCCAGCAGGACGGGGATGCCCGCCAGTCTCTTGGCAGTCCTCTGGTAGTCACGGTAACGAAGCACGAGACGCACCAGCTCCGGATCTCTGGTACTCACCGCCTCCTGAAGAACTGAGAGGGAGAGTAAAACAGAACCAGTCACTCAGGCTTCATCTAAAATTTATGTACATGAACAATTTAAAGGGGGCAGCGAGAACTGCCAAAACTGAAGTGGGCCAAAGGAGAAGCTGGAACCACCAATTACTGCGTCTCACCCATCATTGATCAGCTGTCCTTACACTTGAACAGCACACCTTGTGAGTTGAACTAACACACACACGCTATATTATCTTGTGTGTGTATTTGTGTGACATTTTAAAGATGCAACGATCACACAGGCATGATGCTTGTTTGGTTAGCGTGCTGATATAACGTCTTCCTTTGTTTCACACAGCCAGGCAAATAATGCAATGGAGAACTGCTCTTGGTAGCATTAGTTTCACATTTACAACTAGAAGAGCAGCTCTATTTTCTGGCCTAATGTAAAAAAAAAAGAAGAAGCAGTTTTACTAGTGTGGTATGCGTGAAACTTACTCTTGACAGGGCTACCACTGTGAGGGTAAGTGAGCAGGTAAAGGTAAACAAAATATATGGACTCAGTATTTTTCAACTATTGATTCATTGAAATAACTTAGATTCAGTGCACTGCACTTAAATCATCAACGTCAGGGGAGAAAAGCCACAAAAAAGAGAGGAGGTGACAGCAAAAACAAGAAACTTAAGGTGAGATCATATTTTGGGCACAAATGGAAAAATAAAAGTTACAAAAAAAAAACTGATTTCAAACTCCATTATCTTCCCACTGCAAGAGCACAAAACCAAATTTTAAATGTGCCAGCAGAGATGAGATTTTGGTTTTCATTTTCCAAACAAAAAAGGTGTACAAAGATGTACGATAAAATGTATTATAAGGTCACTAAGTTTCCAAAATGTACCACCACCCTCCAGATACAGCTTATGCATGCTGTGCACTGCTCACCTTACCGCAAATAAACTCCACACAGCATGTGCACTCACTCACCTGTCCATCCGTTGCGGTTCTCCTTGCTAACGTCAGCGCCGTGCTGCAGCAGGACCCTGGCGCAGTCCAGGTGGCCCAGCGTGACAGCGAGGTGAAGAGGAGTACGACCGCGAGGGTCCAGAGACTCTAAATCGGTCTGGATGCAAAAATAGAAGGCGGAGGAAGATGTTAAAATCCTAAATGTATAAATTAAGAAGGATCTATTTGAGTAGGAATTGGGGTTACTTGTGTATCAATGTAATGCTCTTGTGGCTCAGATAGAGGAGTGGCAACAGAAAAACATATAATAGAGACACAACTGTGCCGGTAGCAGCAGAAAGATGCGGGGAGAGACAGGTGCTAATTGATCTGTCACCACTCCTACATGGCTGGGCACTACACTTCTGTACTCCACTTATTTTCTGGGCTGGATGTGTTGGGTTTGGGTAAACATAGAGTGTACTACCTGCTTTGTTAAACAGGCCTCTGGACACACAAACACAGCCACAAACACACGTATCACACAACATTTTATGTGTTATACTGTCTGCTGCTCCTGAACACTTGAAAAATAAAGTTTCAGAGAGTGTTCCAGTATGAGTCTTGGTGAAAAAAAAAAACATGTGGGCAGGTAACAGAAATAAGCGTCTCTTTTCAACCTGCTGTGCAATTAAGCAAAAATATATAACCTACAGCCTCTTTGTCACCAGAAATACACTTTTTTTTTCCTAGTAAGCTTTTACAGCTTGAGGCTACACTTCAGCTCTCAGCTCTCCACTCTGAATTTAGAAGCATGTCAACAAGGCCTCATTAGGCAGCCATACTACATTAGTGTTAATCTTTTCACATCAATCACACCAGTGCTTTGATACAGAAAATTAAAAGGCAGGAGGCTTTTAAAGCCCTCAAATGTGAAAAGTGTGGTAGAAAGCAACTGCCAGTTTTAGATGCTCACAAGGCTAGCTCGCTGCAGCCTCTGCTATTTGGTACAGCTTTCAAACAAACAAATAAAGTGTTCCTGGAGTAAGAAGTAGGAAGTGTTACCTGCTTTATCAAGTCCCGAAACAAGCCTTGTGCCTAAATACACCCATCTGTGTTCCGGCTGATAGGTTATTTACATCACTTCTCCTTCCCCTTTGGCTTAATAATTTTTTCCCTGCCTCCTTTGACTCAATCTGCCTCTCTTCTATCATTTTGTCTTTCAGACTGTCATTTGTTCAGCCCACCTCCTCCCCATCTTCTCATGCTGGCCATCCTCGTACAAGTCTTGACCACCAGAATCTAGACTCTATACTTTGATAAATCATGTTCAGTTCTTCCAAATGAGCTCTGCCTTTGAAATAATAATAATAAAAAAATCCCCACACATTTATGGCTTTCTTGACAAGTGTTAGGAGTAGAAAAGGTTACCCCTCAGCCTCCTGGAAGATGGTATCAGTTTAAAAATCCTTCATCGCTTTGTTCTCAAGTTTTAGCATTCACAAGATTTTCAGAATACTCGACCTCTGACCTTGGGGTCAAGGTCAGAGGTCAACTAGATGTGAAAAAACATTTAAATTAACTAAAATAAAATAAAAAAACAGAGTTTTGAAACAAAAAAATGAAAAGAGTTTGTGAACTTGAAAAAGTAATATGCTTAGTTTTAATATTTGTTAGTTTGGTAAAAGTAGCTACTACTCTGTGAGTAGATCGGGGTTGCCATTACTTATCTTTTGATAGTGTGTGTGTGCTGGAGGTACACTAACAGGCCTGTCTAGGGGTATAAATGACATTAAGTGTATCATAATCCTGATTTGTTGCTTGCAGCTGTAAGTAGGAGTCTTTCCTCTGAGTTTACTAAAAGCTGCAGCCTCTCAGTGTTACCTACAGGGTTTAGTATTTCCCACTGTTAAATATTTGCACATAATTTGCAAACGTGGAACATCCCACAGTGGTAAATCCCAAAGTTTTTATTTATCCACTTATTTATTTTTTACACCCAGGAAGGTAAGCTGTCACAAACACAAACACACAAACAAGTTTTACATTTATATCTACTGCTCTGGAGGAAACTGTCCGTCCCTCTCATAGAACATCCCCCTTTTTTCTTACAGTGTTACTCCTTCAGCAGTTTTTACCGCACTGATCTTAGATCTGCCACCTAATTAAACAGAGCTGCTGATGCCCCATTTATCCACGGCCTTGGCAGATCCAAGGTCAGTTCAGGCAGTCTGCTGTGAGCTTGAATTTTAATTAAGGATTACTCTTGGACGTAAGAGCAGCATGTCTTGGAATCAGCACTTTCATAAAGACATTAAAGAGGCTATGAAAAAAAATCTTTCCAGGAATAAAAAAAAATAAAAAATAGTGAGTGTTGTTGTTATGGTGTAATTATATGTAATAGTAATACTGTGACGCTGTGCAGATCAAACCTAGGATAGTTCAAGACACTTACTAATCTAGAGCAGTGGAAAGAGTAAATGTGTTCAAGGAAATTTTTTGAGCAATGAATGAGGAAGCTGCCATTGATACTGCACTTGATGGATGATGTCCGAATAGAATATGACCCAAAGGAAGTCCAACACAGTCTAACTGCAGTTTCTGAGAAACGCACACTGTGAGCTTAGATGGGAAGTCAGTGGTTACATTAGCAATCAGTTACTGCGGCTCTCTGTTTGTCCTATTTGCAAGGGAAATGAAGAAAACCTGCAAACACAAATGTGGAGGGGCGGGGGAGATAGCAAGAGACACAAAGTCGCCAACAAGTAAAAAAAAAAAAGACAAGTGTAATTACATGCTTTTAAAATGTTTTTGTTATGTGCTGGATTGAGTTTAGTAAAGCATAACTCAATAATAAGAATATGATACCATGGCTTCAGCCTGTTAATGGGTGGTCTATCTGCGCGATCTCTACATCTTTGCTTAACAGCTCTATGCGCTCTCCACAGCTCTTCCAAAAGCAACTCAGTAGAGAAAGAGTGGGAGATAAAGAGAAGGACACAAATAACGTGGGCAGAGAAATTTCTGTAGCAAGAGAAAGCCTGTCGGCAAAACTTTAACTAAGACAGGGGAGGACAGGGAGCAGGCTGAAGAGAAAGAAAGAGTAATGACGGCTCTCGCGAGTTACGGTGACACCAAACGAAGACGCGGGAGGAGGTGAGGACTGGAGACCAGGAGGGGAACGAGCGTTTGGAGGGAGACAACAACATGAGGGAGTCCCTCAGGAGCTGTGTAGGCTGGAGAATATAGGGAGCGTGCGAGGGGTGGATTATTACAGAAAAACATGGCGGAAAAAAGAGAGCAGTCAGCTTTGTTTTTGCGTGTGCTGAATAACGAACTGTGCATCATGCAAATGCAGCCATTTTCCATGCCGTGCATGTGTGTGCATGTCGAGCACAAGCACGGTGTTATGGGAAACTGTAGAGAGCTCGTGCAGCATAAACGTGAAGAGCAGTCAAAGTCACAGAACGGTCTGAAGTCAGGCTTCTGTCATGTAAACACAAAGAAGAAAGAGAAACAAAATAAAAGACGATTTGTGTGAAAATCAACCTCCTAAAATGGATTTTTTTTTCTTTTTTTGAAAGAAACCACACATATTTTTGTGAGCACATAAAATAGACAAAAAGTCAGAGACAAGAACCAGATGATGTTAGAGAAAATGAGATAAATGAAAGAAGGGAAGGGGGTGGGGGCTACTAACGTCTTCATTTTGTTTTCATAAGACCCTTTTACTGTCTCACACCTGCTCTCCCTTTAAGTGTCCCTGTGTAATTTTGGTGATTATCAGTTTAAGCTTATTTTATAGCTCTACTTGATTTAATTTACTCTGGATACAAGAGCTGAACAACAGCTGAAATGCAGCACAGAGGCAGAAAGAGAGACCAAGGGAGAGACGTGGGGGAGAAAGAAAGGGTGCTAATAAGGGAGAGGATAAACTGAAACATTTGGCAAGGTGGAAGGTGACAGAAACAGTGGTAAATAAAGTCAGGGAAGGATGCCAGTGGGGGTGATTACAGGCGAACAGGGGAATTTAGAAAGAGACAGGTCAGAGAGTGCAGGATGCAGCCAAAAAGCAGTGCACACAATACATAATAGGATTACAGAGAAACAGCAGGACAAAGCGCTGAACTTTCATGTAGATAATTCCTTTCTCCTAAGAGAGAAGAAGAATATATGCCCCTTAAGGCAATTTTGGCAGCCAAAGATAAGTTGGCCAAAGCCTCTGCTTTTGGCTGACACACACAGACGCACATTGGAGTGTCTCTGGCTCCTCCTCCAGGTGGCGGATACACATGAGGGTGGTCTACTCAAGGCTATTTGGGCTGAGCCCTTCCAGGCCCCATGGGTAAAGGCTCAGGCACCAGGCTCACGCTGACCAACCACTCCTCCAAGTGTCTGTGCCATGATGAGGCTCTTATGCGCTGTGCCTCGATTCTTTTCCCCTAATAGAGGCCATCAGAATAGCAACTCACCTAGTTTTTCTTGGAGGTCCTGGGGTAGACCCAGGGCAGGTTAAAGAGATTACACCACTTGGCTGGATTGGATGGATGGATGGGTATATGTCCCCCTGTATATTGTCATTGGTCACCCATGCTGCTAAACTGATTTGTGGGACAAAGAATTGAACTGAATTGAATTGAATTAAATTGAACTGAACTGAATTGGATAGATGGATAGGTGGATATGAAACTACACTCGAGCGCCCTCCTTTCCATTTGTTTTCCTATAGCACTTCTCTGTAATGCATTATACTAGGCACACAGTATTATGTGCAAAACCCATTATGTTGGTAATTGGAAGTCAGTCTGAGTGAGCGTGACAAATCCCTGCAATCAGAGCACATCAGCCTCTTAGTGTTTAATAGTTAGCCTTATTGTTATTTTTGCACCTTATAAGTTAAGACTGAGAGCATAATAAACTTGCTGCCACACACATATTCTCACCAAAGGGTTTCTCTGCATCTTGACTGCTTGTTTTTTATCGACTTTCTAAAAGCCAAACATATATTTAAAAGGGCCATGCTCCCCCCATTACAGATCGACTGAAACAGCTTATCATCAGCTCTCCTTAATTTCTAACTAACGCGAGCAACGCGACACTTAACCCCTGTCAAATCTTCGACACAACACGACTCAATATGTGGGACATTTGTTGTGATGACACCTTCAAGCGGTACGA